GACCGATGAAGTAAGCAATATGACCAAACGAAGAGCAGATAGCGGCACCAGGTTACATGGTAGAGATACCTTAGACGCGTAGCTGGTTAAGGGCCACTGTTTGCAGCACTAGTGTACCTACCTGGGAGTAACCCGCGGGTAAACCTAACGACTCATGTGAGCAAAACCCCTTGGTCAGGATCTAGATAAAATAGGGGAGTATTTCACAGTTAGCTGTTTTCCAATATGATAAGATCAGCTGGCGAATAGTTGAAATAACGCAGACTGCGTTTGATTCAATAGCGAAAACGAAGGTTCTGATATCTATTCCAACGTCTTCTCAGCGATGAGTATATTGGTATGCTTTACAATTACTGTACATGGTAGGCCGGCCAGATGAGAACCATTCAAAATCAACCTTGGTAAAAAAGTCCAGTCTTGTGCATATTTCGAATATATTCCAGTAGCCAACACAATGTCTATCAATGACGTGGTTGTTTGAGGGTGCACGGACTGGATGTGGCTTTTATTGTTCAGTGTGCGTGATAAACATGGTATCAAGGAGATCTATGTTCAGGTGGCTTTGTTTAGACACACTCATCTCTTTAGTTGTGCTAAGAGGATGGAAGCTGCAATGGGGATGTAACTAGCAATGTTGAGGTGACAGTTCTTTGTGTATGCAATCTGCAGATGAAACAGTACTGGCGGACCGAGCAATCCGGAAGAATGAAGAACAAGTCAAGTGAATTCATTTGGTCAACGGTGTTCCTAATCTCAAGTTGTCTTACAAAGCCTACATGCAACTGTTTAAATCAGTTAGAGGACACGGTGCGTAGCCTTCCAGGTTACAATTTCAGCTGTGCTCCATAGACAGCACATTGAGTTAGGTCAAAATTTCGTTGATTGAATCTTCGTATAGTCCAAACCCGGCAGGTCGGTGGAGGACCGGTGTCCAGATCGAATTCTTGATCGGTAAGTGGACATTCAATTGGAGTGGAACGTCATATTAGAGTTTTGTAGCAACGTGATCGGCGGGTCGTAGTATGGGTAGTAAAAAGACGATCCATCAGCTGGAACAACGGTCTGAAACAATAAAAAAGTGGGAAGTTAGGGATTTGTAGCTGGATCATAAGTATGTTATATCAATGAAGAAGACAAAAGAGGTCAATTGATCAAACTTTTAGAAGTAGATAAATTATTAAGTGTGTTGAACACGAAAGCTTAATTGCCCCATTTCTCAGCTATGCGGAAGCCTAGTCTAGCTGTCCCCCGGGAAAAAGTGGGGAAACAAGTATAAGGCAGCACATCCAGATAACTATGGAAACCCTTGTAAACTTAATGTATAATTGGTTTGGATGTCTGTTTTCTGTCAATGACTGCGTCAATCAAACGGAGTACGGGACTTTTATGCACCTTAATGCG